GCTATAAATAGATTAATTAAATATTATCTGCAACTTGAAAATTTCGGACAAATTAATTAATAGTAATATTTTTTTTAAATACGATATAAATTTACATTATTAAATAATTTTTTGTAGTAATATAATATTAATAATTAATACTCTATTGTATACACAAACAATATTATATATAAATATTTTATAAAGATATAGTGCTTTTATTTTTTTTATTATTGATTATTTTTTTATAAACTCGAAAAATTAATTTATAGTTTACGAAATATTTACATTGATATTTAATTATATATTTAATTAGATTTTGAATATACGTGTACTGTATATATATATATTTATATAATTATAGTTGCCTATTTGATATAATAAAATAAAATTAATTTGATAATAATAGTTAGATATTCATAATTATGTTTGTATAATGATATAATTTATTATACTTAATATATACTATGTTTATATATATATATAAAGTTATAATGGCATAATATATCTAAGTATATTATTACTTAATAATATTATTATTAGAATTATTTATAAAAAAATAAATTTTTAAATTATACTATAAATATAAAATAATACTACAAAAAAATGAATATCAAAAAAATTTATAACAGCAAATAAAATAAATTAAAATTTATAGTTTTAATCATCAAAAAACATGAAAATAACAAAATATGATATCCTATTGTATTTATTGGGCGAACAGTGCTATCGATTGGGATTTCCTAAATATAATCCTAATTATAAACATATATCTAATACAAGTAATATTATTATTGATTTTATTGGAATTATTGAACTAATTAAAACTGTATCATTCATATTCATTGATAATATAAATTATCATATTTACCTTGGTGATTGGTCATATATATTTCAATTTAAACTATTTGCATTATGTACAATTGTTGTTATTGTGTGTACGTTAAGTTCAAAAATTAATATGTATTATAAATTTAAAAAACTAAACCATACAACAAACAATAGTAATAATAATAATAATTATTATTATTTATTAAATAAAAAATTTATACCCAATATCATAAACTCAAATTATTATAAATATTTTAAATTATTTAATCTAATAATAACAATCAATTTACATACACTAAACGGTATATTACCCGGATTATGTTTGTCATTATATTATCCACTAAATGATTTAATCAAGTTTGGCTTATTTTGGTTTGTATATTATACAATAATTTATGGCAAATTGGGTCTAATGTTTTCCTATCAATTAGTATATTTCATAGTAATTTGTTTGTATCAAAACTATGAAATCATAGTAATTAATCAGAAAATTAATTGTCTAATACTATTGAATAGTAAAAAATATTTAATAAACAAAATTTTTATTAATTACTATTTAACGAAAAAAATCTATAGATTATATAATTTATTTTGTCTAAAAAATTATAAACTAAATCAATTATGGTCAACAATATTATTGTATTATTGTTTGACAATTATTTTTCTGATATCATTTTTAATAATTATGTCCATAAACTTAATTAACTTTAAATTAATAGTATTTTCAATGATTGGTTTTATTATTATACTAATAATATTATTGACATTATTGGTAGAGTTTGCCAGTAATGTCAATACTAATGCTAAACAATCGTATAAATTATTGAATCGACTTAATTGTAAACTATTGATTAGTAAATATTCAAATATTTCATTACATAACAAAATAAAAGTATTGATATATAAATATAATTTTTATTATTAAATTATTAATAAAATTTAATTATTTTATTTTATTATAATAATATTTATAGTTGAATACATTTATTGAATTGACTGCTAAACAAAAAATTGGTTTCTATTGTTGGAAATTATTTATTATCAATCAATTTACTTATCAAATGGTAACAAATAAAATTATTTATATATATATTCAATATTATATAATATTTGATATAATTATGTTAATAATTTTTTATATTTTTTCAATTTTATTTTCAGTTTCTGCAGCTAATGACAAAAATAATATTCAAGTTATTTAAAATGTTGTGATTAATAAAATTTATTATTGTTTTTCAATTTATTTAGCTAATTAAATAATATTAAATGATAAATTTAGATATATTATTAATATTATTTAACAATATTAAAATATTTTGATATATTTACTAATATAACTTAAAATTTTTAGTTTTTTTAGCTAATGACTAAAATTATAAAGTTATTCAAAATGTTGTTTTGTTATTTAATTTTTAAGATTTATATATCATATAAGATTTCAATATCTGATTTTTATTTTTTTTTATACCAATTAATCTATTTATTTTTAAAATAAATGTTGAATAGATTATCATTATATGTTGATAATTGATAATATATTATGCAAAATAATTTAATGCTTATAATAATAAACATTAAAAACACATATACATCATATATAGTATATATATATATATATACTATAAAACCGTTTTTAGTTCATTGAATAATTATTATTAAGTATACAATTTTTTAAAAAATAATTTTTATAAAATATACAGTATGTATTGTAATTAAATTTTGAAAATACATATTATTATTGAATATTTATTACTTTGTATTAACTACTCTATACGTTATTAACATTATATTTACTTAAGATTTATTTTGTTTTTCAATTGAAATAAATTAAAAATAACTGATTAATTAAATAAAGTAAACTATAAAAATTGTAAAGATATATAATTTATAATATTTTAATTATAGTATATCATAAACATTTAATTAAATTTTGTATTTTACTGATAAATATTTTTTTTAATTATATTACATAATTAAATACATATTTTTATACAATATTATAAATATATTACTTATTGTTAAAATAATGATTAAATAGAGATTATGTATGAAATAATTTTATTATACAATAATTTTTTATAGCTTTTTCTAAATGTTTTTAAACTATATTAAAATACTGTATTAAAATTTATGATTTAATTGTCTGATTATATTATTTTTTTATAAATTATTATATTATCTAAAATTTATTACGATAGTTTTTATTATAGTTTTATTTTGGATATCTTATTATAAGTTTTTTTAAATAAAATTATTTGAAAAATATGAAATGATAATAATTACATTGAAATAAATTATTGTGTATATATTGTAATTTTACAATATAATAAAAAAATATGCTCTATGTTATTGTATTATAATTTAAGATCATTAAATTAATCATTTTTTTTGCTATAAATTATATTTATTGTTTTATCTTAAACTTTTGTACTATAGTTAAATTTTATATTGTAATAATTAAACTGTATAAATGCGTATGACAACTAAAGCAATGAAATTAAAAAAAACAAGAAAAATACTAAATATTTGTTGTTTGTTAACTTGTTTTGTGTTTATTATAAACATCATAGTTTTTGTTAATAGTTAACTGTAGATATATATATATATATATACTGTATTATTTGAATTGAATTTTATTATATTTATAGTTAATTGTTTTTTTTTATAAAAAACTAATACTTATCTCAATAGAGGATCAATTATAACATCGACATCTCATGACATCGACAACGACTATTGAGACATCAACCCGTGTAGTGGACAACAGTGTCAAAGTCATACATAAGTGTAAAGTCATATTCAAAGTGGACAACTTTGGCGATGAATTGGACAACAATTGGTCGGAATTGAAAACATTTAAAAGCAATATCTTTAGCATTGAATCCGATGACTGGTATATCTCTATGATATGTAATGATAACGATATCGGATTGTATTTATGTTTAAAACAAACTAATGATAAGTCAGTTAATACTGAATACGACATATATTTTGTTGATAAAGATAATGAAAAATATGGCCAAAAAAATATTAAATATCTCCAAAATTTATGACTAAACAACAATTGATTGATAATAAAACACAGATATTGTCAGACAATGCACTTATAGTTGGCGCCGACATCACTGTCTACAAGACTGATGATTGCAATAGTGGTCTAAGAGTTGATCACTTGTTTGGTATCCGCGAACTCACCGATTGTCGACTCGTTGTCGGCAAAGACAAGAAAGAATTTTTCGCCTCAAAACTGGTTCTCAGCGCCCGATCGGAAGTCTTCCGAAAGATGTTTACCACTGATTGTTTAGAAATGAAAACAAATGAAGTGATCATCGATGACATCGATATCGAAGTCTTCGAGCAATTTCTTCTCTATTTTTATACCGGAAAATGTAATAAATTGGATCAGATGTGTGAGGATCTCATATTAGTGGCCGACAAGTATTTGGTGGCATCGCTTAAGACTGTATGTCTGAATCAGATATATATGCGAATCAATACAAATAATGCTTTCAAATCGCTTAAAATATTACAAGACTTTTGTGCCGATAAAGATATTATTGAAAAGTCTGTTAAATTTATGTCTGAAAACATTACTTCAGTTGTCGATCAAGAAATTGGTAAACAATACGGTATTAATTTAGATTCAATTTCTAAGATTATTGATAGTATTAATAAATAAAACTATATTTAATACTATATAAATATAATATTATAGTTATAATTATTATATCAGTATATTGTTATCATATATTTGAGGTAATAAAAAAAATAAAACTTATGTACGGAATAAAATTATTTGATTTGATAATTATATTGAAATAAAAAATTAAGTATAAAATTTATGCTTTTTTCATAATATATTATACTGTAGTGGTATTGTTATCATAAAATTAATAAATATTTTTATCTTATAATTTATTTTGTACTTTTATATTGAGCTATTATATTGAATATATATTTTTTATTATAGTTACAATTTGATATTGTAATAATTTAGTGTATTAGAAATTATCTAATAATATTAAATGTGTTTATTACAGTATATCTATTTTTTGTTTTTTTCATAATTATAAAATTAATATAGTCTTAACTTTTTATTAAAAATAAAACTATTGATTATTTTTTAAAAAATTATATTTTTTGTCAATATTTAATAGTAGATACTGTATATACAGTATATTATTTTTAAGATGACATCGACGACAACAATTGAGACATCGACCCGTGTAGTGGACAAAAGTGTCAAAGTCATACATAAGTGTAAAGTCATATTCAAAGTGGACAACTTCGGCGATGAATTGGACAACAATTGGTCAGAAATAAAAATATTTAAAAGCAATATTTTTACCATTGAATCCAATAAATGGCTTATATATATGGATTGTAAAGATGATTACATTAGATTGTATTTGTATTTAATACAAACAAACCATAAATCATTTAATACTGAATACGACATGTATTTTGTTGATAAAGATAATGAAAAATATGGCCAAAAAAATATTAAATATATATTTGATAAAAAATGTGGTTTTGGTTTACCAATGTTTATGAGTAAACAACAATTGATTAATAATAAAACACAGGTATTGACAGACAATACACTTACTGTTGGCTTTGATATTACTGTCTACAAGACTGATGATTGCAATAGTGGTCTAATATTTGATCACTTGTTTGGTGTCCGCGAACTCACCGATTGTCGACTCGTTGTCGGCAAAGACAAGAAAGAATTTTTTGTCTCAAAACTGGTTCTCAGCGCCCGATCGGAAGTCTTCCGAAAGATGTTTACCACTGATTGTTTGGAAAAGAAAACAAATGAAGTGGTCATCGATGACATCGACAGCAATGTCTTCGAGCAATTTCTTTGTTATCTTTATACCGGAAAATGTAATAAATTGGATCAGATGTGTGAGGATCTGCTATTAGTGGCCGACAAGTATTTGGTTGAATCGTTTAAGACTATATGTCTGAATTGTATTTCAATGAAAATCAATATAAATAATGCTTTCAAATCACTTAAAATACTACAAGACTTTGGTGCCGATAAAGATATTATTGAAAAGTCTATTAAATTTATATCCGAAAACATCACATCAGTTGTCGGTCAAGAAATTGGTAAACAATACGGTATTAATTTAGAGTCAATTTCTAAGATTATTGATAATATTAAAAAATAAAACTTAAATATATCTAATATACTATATAAGTGTAATAATGTATTTTATCAGTATATTGTTATCATATAATTGAAATAATAAAAAAAATTATGTATGAAATAAAATTATTTAATTTGATAATTATATTAAATAAAAAAATTAAGTATAAAATTTATGCTTTTTTAACAATATATTATACTGTAATTGTATTGTTATCACAAAAAATAATAAATATTTTTATCTTATAATTTATTTTATTTTATATTAAACTTATTATATATTTTTTTTATTATAGTTACAATTTGATATTGTAATAATTTAGTGTATTAGAAATTATTTTATAATATTAAATGCGTAAATTACTTAGACTATTAAATTAAAAATATATAATATAGTATATCTATTTTATGTTTTTTTCATAATTATAAATTAATATAGTCTTATTTAATATAGTAGTACTATTTATTAATAATAAATATATAGATTTAAAAATATATATATATATATACAGTATTTCCTTGTTATTAATTAATAGTACTGTAAATACTGTATATTATTTATAAGATGACATCGACGACAACAATTGAGACATCGACCCGTGTAGTGGACAACAGTGTCAAAGTCATACATAAGTTTAATGTCATATTCAAAGTGGACAACTTTGGCGATGAATTGGACAACAATTGGTCGGAATTGAAAGCATTTCAAAGTAATATCTTTAGCATTGAATCCGATGATTGGCTTATAAATATTGAATGCAAAGATAACACATTGGAATGTATTTGCTTTTAATGCAAACAAATGCAAAGTCAGTTAATACTGAATACGACATGTATTTTGTTGAAAAAAATAATGAAAAATATGGCCAAAAAAATATTAAATATATATTTGAGAAAAAATGTGGTTATGGTTTTCAAATGTTTATGAGTAAACAACAATTGATTTATAATAAATCACAGATATTGACAGACAATGCACTTATAGTTGGCGTCGACATCACTGTCTACAAGACTGATGATTGCAATAGTGGTCTAAGATTTGATCATTTGTTTGGTGTCCGCGAACTCACCGATTGTCGACTCGTTGTCGGCAAAGAAAAGAAAGAATTTTTTGTCTCGAAACTGATTCTCAGCGCCCGATCGGAAGTCTTCCGAAAGATGTTTACCACTGATTGTTTGGAAATGAAAACAAATGAAGTGATCATCGATGACATCGATAGCGAAATCTTTGAGCAATTTCTTTGTTATCTTTATACCGGAAAATGTAATAAATTAGATGATATGTGTGAGGATATGCTATTATTGGCCGACAAATATTTGGTTGAATCGTTTAAGACTATATGTCTTAATTGCATTTATATGCAAATCAATACAAATAATGCTTTCAAATCATTACAAATACTGCAAGACTTTGGTGGCGATAAAGATATCATTGAAAAGTCCATAAAATTTATATCCGAAAACATTACTTCAGTTGTCGGTCAAGAAATTGGTAAACAATACGGTATTAATTTAGAGTCAATGTCTAAGATTATTGACAATATTAAAAAATAAATCAGATATATCCTAATATACTATATAAGTATAATAATGTATTTTATCAGTATATTGTTATCATATACTTGAGTTAATTAAAAAAATAAAAATTATGTATGAAATAAAATTATTTGATTTGATAATTATATTGAAATAAAAAATTAAATATAAAATTTATGATTTTTTAATAATATATTATTCTGTATTTGTATTGTTATCATAAAATTAATAAATATTTTTATCTTATAATTTATTTTGTTATTTTATATTAAACTTATTATATATTTTTTTTATTATAGTTACAATTTGATATTGTAATAATTTAGTGTATTAGAAATTATTTTATAATATTAAATATGTTTATTACTTAAACAATTAAATTAAAAATATTTAATAAAGTATATCTATTTTTTGTTTTTTTCATAATTATAAAATTAATAGTCTTAACTTTTTATTAAAAATAAATAATAAAACACAGATATTGACAGACAATGCACTTATAGTTGGCGTCGACATCACTGTCTACAAGACTGATGATTGCAATAGTGGTCTAAAATTTGATCACTTGTTTGGTGTCCGCGAACTCACCGATTGTCGACTCGTTGTCGGCAAAGAAAAGAAAAAATTTAAGACTATATGTCTTAATCTCATATATATGCAAATCAATACAAATAATGCTTTCAAATCACTGCAAATACTACAAGACTTTGGTGCCGATGAAGACATCATTGAAAAGTCTATTAAATTTATATCCGAAAACATCACATCAGTTGTCGGTCAAGAAATTGGTAAACAATACGGTATTAATTTGATGTCAATGTCAAAGTTTATCGATAGTATTAAAAAATAATTTGAAAATATATTATTACTTTATAACTAATTTAAACAGCTTTAAATTAATACTATCAATATATTAAATTTAAAAAAATATATTATTATATTAATTTGATTAGCAATTTTCTATACAGTAATTTTGTTAAATAATATAGAAATACAGTTAATTTCATTAAATAATATAGAAATACAGTTAAGTTCATTAAATTAATCAATTTATAAGATTATATAAATAAATAATTAATAAATAATTAATTATTATTATAAAAGTGCTATAAAAACTATTAAATTTTAATTTCTGAATTAATAATTTATTAAATTAAATAAAATTAATTAATATATTTTGTCAAATTTGTTAATAATTTTTTTTTTTAAAATAACATCAACTACTTTTGAATTTATTGATATATTTTAAAAATGTAATTATTATTAAAACAAACAAAAAAATAACTTTTATATTTAGTTATTTTAAAAGTTATAAAATATTATATTTATTTTATTTTATTTTTTAACTAAAAAAATAGTTGTCTATTAGTCCCGTTCCTCTTCGATAACAATATTATCAGTGCTGTGACCCTGATTTAGATATACCTCTTCTCTATCATTACTGAACTGAGCCCTCATTTGTGTGGATAGTTGACTGAAATTATAACGACAACAACAAAAAATTGTTAAAAATAATTATTAATTGTTTTTTTTGAAAAATAATTTTTCAAAAAAATAATTATTATTATTATTAGCTTACTTTTTGCGCTTATAATAAATATATAACGATATTATAATCAAAACATTGACGACAACCGATACTACAGCTACCGAAACCCAGGTTAGTGTTGTTCCCCGAGCGCTGTCCACTCCCTGAACCAGCGAATCCAAACGATTGGTCAGATTTTTGATATGTGAATGTATGGGATCTTCTTCATTGGCAATCACATGACTGGCCACTGGTCTGACATAGTCTACTGGTGCCGATGTTGTGGTGGTTGGTGTCGTAGTTATTGTTGTCATGTATTCATTACTATCATCACCGCGAAGACTGCCATCAACTGTAGGTTCAGTTGTTATCAATGATGTCATTGTTGTTGTTGTTGTCGTCGACTGTTCTGTTGTCTGCTGCATACATAACAATACAAATAACGGAAAGTCTGTATTTTAGTTGTCTCATACCTGTTCAGCGCACCGGCTGGTAAACGGTAGCTGTGATTTTGAACATACGCACCGGTAGCTATCGGCGCCAGCGGCCGGCAGACAAATTTGCGAACAATTATGTTGTGCACAGCGATCGGTGGCATTCGGCTGTCGGCTACTGTCCAGCACACGTAGTCCTTCCAGATCTGTGTAGGCGGTGACCAGGGGTAACGGTTCAGTACCGTTAGCACCCGAGATATGGGTGACCAGAATGTTGTTTTTCTCGTAGTTCGACCAAAACACGTAGTCGTCGAACACGTCCATCGAAAAGGCGCCGTCGAACAGTGCCTGTGAGGTCAGTATTACCGTATGACCAGAACCCGTATAGCTTATACGGCTAAGCGAGTACTGCGATGTGTCGATCCAATAGATAAGCTGACTGTCCATATCCAGGGCCAGTGTATTCGGTATCTTTGCCGACTGGAACAGTGTCCGCTGATCCGATCCGTCCTGATTGGCCCGCATTATCTGACCCGTGTGCTGGTTGGACAACGATAGGTATTTCCATTGCGACCAAACCAGTACACCATTAACCGGATCGACGGCCACATCTCCCTGTGTCGAGTCGTGACTGACTACTGTATAACTGTACCAATTGGGTGCCAATGTAAACACATCGATACACTTGTTGCTGTCGATGGCCATATAGACTAGATTATGGATCCAGTCGTAGGACAGCCGTTTGGCATTGAATGTCCGCATCAACAACAGTGTAACACCGGGACCATAGCGGCTGGTCTTGTTTTTATCAATGGGTGCAGCGTTTAGTTTGAAACCGTCAAAAATATTACTTTCCAACCATAGCATATAGTTGTCCCGATAGTTGTAGTCAACTTCGGTAATCCAATCGGTATCCGGATACAGATCAAGACTGTCCATATAATTGGTATTCAGTTCATTGATTTCCGGCTTTACATAGACTCCCTCTTTGTAGACTACAAACAACAATCGGGTCTTATTTGGGTTCAACACTTCAAACGATCGCGAACTTGTCGACGGCGTACGACCGGCGGTAATCCCGGTAGCGCTACCGCCGCCGCCACCGCCAATAACCGATGTAGACATCGACGTTGTTTGGCCGCCGCCGCCGCCGGTGCCGGTAGTGGCCGAGTAGACACACTGATGGCCATTCCAGACCTCGTTTTGCATACAGAAACACGAATGAAATCGATTGTCGGCGCCGGTTGGCATCGGTAGACAAATATTATGACAGTTATGTTGAGCGCACTTGTTCTGACCGCTCGGCCGACGAGACTGGTGTATAATCTTAAACGAGTCGATATCGACACTGGACTGCAACACCAGTTCCGGTTCGGGTGTCTGGCTTTCGGTCAGCGTCACCGACTCGGCTCCTGTTTTGCGTTTAGGTATTCGCATAATCGTATCGTTTGTATTCTCTGTCCAATAGACATGATTCCCGAAGACATCCATTGCCGATACTACCGAATCTTTGAACTGTCGCTGAAATGTGTGAATGGCTTTCAGATCAGTTCCGTCATAGCGTATAGAGTACAGTGTGTTGACTGTAGTCAACACCGATTGCATATCAATCCAATAGAGTCGTTGTTCGGCCAAATCCAATGTCAGTGTATTTCGGCGAACGAGTGGCGTCTCGTGAAGTAGTGTCTTGTTTTCGCCGTCTTGTAATGACCGCCATATCTGGCTCTTGTAGGTCGTCGATCCATAAGTCGATCCACCGTACGATCGGTAGCTACTGGTTAGTCGTGAATAGCCGCCGCCAGTCCTGGAAGTAGTCGGTACCGATTCGTGTAGTTCAGTCCAAAACAGATAGCCCTGTACCGGGTCGACCCGTACGTCTTTGGTAACGCACTGGTCGTGCGGTACAACCTGATAGATGGTCGGTGACTGAGCTGTCAGATTCATTACGTAGACACCCTTATTGACGTATAGCAAACTGGTTGAACACATCGGGAAATACAGGAGATTGTGTATCCAATCCAATGCCATTGTCCGCGGTGGCGACGATCCGGTAATGTTGACCATATAGTTGACGCCCGGCTGGTGCTGGAGATCGTTGTCGCGGTTGTCGACAAACGGCGCGCCAAACATTGTTGTCTTTGATTCGTAAAACGAAAACATTTTGAACCATACAATAAAATTGCCGGAAACCGAGTACTCGAGTGCCGATACCGAGTGATTGATTTTGTGGACAAATTCCGAGCTCATAAAGTGCATCGGATTGTTGTCGCCGCCGCCGCCGTTTGTACCGATGTTAGTGGACAACAGTCTACCCAATCGTATGTCACGACTGCTGCTGACAAACAATATCAGCGGATCGTCAGTGTTGGTCAGCTCGGCTATAGCACTGGTATTTTGTTTAGGTTCGGCTAGTTTTGGCAATTGAAACTTTTGTTGGTTCGGTTCGGTACAAGTGTCCAATTGATTGGGCGAATCGGAACACACGCACCGGTAGCTCGACGGGCCATTCGGTAGACATAGATGCGAACAGTTAGCCGCCTGACAGTAGTTAGTGGCCGGTTGTGTGGATTGTTTGTCGGAGCTTATGATTCGTACAAAATCAATGTCCAGATCTGATTCAACAATTTTTCGGATATTACCACTGCTTGTTGTAGTACTGTTGTCGTCCAGATCATACCGAAACACATTGTTATGTTTAGGTGATGTCCAATACAGTGATCCGTTATGTATGTCCATAGACTGACAGTCGCTGAAGTATTGTTTGGATACTCTGAGTGTCCGGCGATTAGCGCCGCTATAGTCAACCGATGATAGCGAATGCAAATCATTATCAATCCATACGATACGTTTGTTTCGGAAATCAATGACCAAACATATCGGCAGCAATACGTTTTGTTGGACAAGTATTTGTTGGCCACTGCCGTCCTGTTGACACCGACGGATAACACCCATACCATCGGATACCCTATACTCGGACCATACAATAAAAGCGTCGTACGGATTGACGGCAATGTTGCCCGTCTTGAATGACCGATACGATGTCAACCTATCATCGTCGGCGGTACCGACAGCAGTCAGTTCGTAGCTAACTTCGGGCACCCGGATGTCGACAACACTGAGCGCCGAATTGTTGAAATAGTAGACCAGATCGTGTACCCAATCGATGGCCACATCCGATCGGTCGTAGTATGTCTTACGGGTGACCACTAGCGAGCGTTTGTAGATTTGTAGTCGTGTCCGACGACTGTCCCTGGGATCGGCTTTCGATCGATATTCGGCCAAAAATATCGGATACGGATAGGAAGCACTCGACCATACCATGTATTTGTCGCTGACATCAATGTCCAGACACTTGATCTTGTAGTCGGTTGAGTAGAGTTTGGCCGCTTTTTCCGTGATTATTACCGATTGATTAGTAGTGGTAGTAGTAGTAGTAGTAGTGTCGTCACTAATAAAGTCATAGTGTATAGCATTATCATCGTTGTTGAACAATATTATGGGAAGTGTTATCGTAGAATCAATAGCACCGTTAGGTTGATTGCTAGGAACGGTAGTTAAATCATTATTATTTTGACTAAAAAAACCTGCATTACTAGTTTCAGTTATAGCTATTGCTACTATAGCTAACTGTATCAATAGATTTAATAATTTATTTAATGACATATTTACTATAAAAACCAATTTTTATTATTATTATTAACAAACAATTAATTTAAGCATTTAGTTAAATAATTTTTTAGGTTTTTTTAAACTAATATAAAATAGTTAATTTTAAATTAACTAAAAATAAACCACACAAAACAAACTAATTTTTAACACAATATTTTAGTTATTTTTTTTATTAATGTTGTTGTTTTATTAACATTGATCCACAAATAAATAAAATTTGTTTAAAAAAAATAAAAATACGTTTTAAAACTTATTTAATATTTATATGTAAATTGTGTGTTAATAGTAAAGATATATATATATATATATATATATATATATATAATATTTGATGATAAAATTGTTTATATTTGCTGTTTTTATTTTGGATAACTAATCATAAAAGTATATCAATATTTCAAAGTAATTCTATAATATATAGACTATAACTTATCTATGAAATAAATTTATATTGATATATATATAGTATATATGATAAAATTAATATATGATATAACAGTTAACTAATTATATACATACAGTATATATATATATATTGTGTATAATAATTAAGCTATATTTAGATATTGTATAAATTAATAATGTATAAGATATACTGTATTATTAGATGATAAGTAAAAGGGTTATTCATTAATCTCGCGCATGGGGTTTTTGCTATAACTCTTAAACGGAGTGAGATATATTTATTTTGTAAAAAGTGTATTAAAATATGATTTACGCGTGATATCATAAAATATAAAATTTTTAATTTTGATAACGTGATCATATTTATGCTGGGCTGTTTGTAAACCACTATGTCACAACCTAACCTATAAATGATAGAATAAAATTTCAATAGCAATTTTTTAAAGCCTGACTTGGAAAATTATGGAAAGAAAAATTTTTTAAAATTGGTCGAAAAATAAATTTTTTATGGCTTTTCAAACTTGTGAAAAAACACATTATATAAAATAGTCAAAAATAAAATGACGTTATTTATGGATAGTATACACTTATAAGATAAAGATTTTAATACTATTACTTATTCTAAAAACTAAATTTTTTTATGTCAAATATTTTTTTAGATATTAAAATTACAATAAAAACATAGCATTATAATTTGATAATGTAATTTAATTTTAAATTTAATTATCTAAAAAAATATTAGACATAAAAGAATTTAGTTTTTAAAATATGTATTAGTATTAAAATCTTTATCTTATAAGTGTATACTATCCATAAATAACGTCATTTTATTTTTGACTATTTTATATAATGTGTTTTTTCACAAGTTTGAAAAGCCATAAAAAATTTATTTTTCGACCAATTTTAAAAAATTTTTCTTCCCATAATTTTCCAAGTCAGGCTTTAAAAAATTGCTATTGAAATTTTATTCTATCATTTATAGGTTAGGTTGTGACATAGTGGTTTACAAACAGCCCGTCATAAATATGATCACGTTATCAAAATTAAAAATTTTATATTTTAAGATATCACGCGTAAATCATATTTTAATACACTTTTTACAAAATTAATATATCTCACTCCGTTTAAGATTTATAGCAAAAACCCCATGCGCGAGATTAATGAATAACCCTTTTATATATATTTTTTAATGACTTAATAATATCATAACATATTAATTAATTTAAAATAAACAATTAGGATAGAGAGAAAATTATTAATATTTTTTTTATTAATTTAATCATTTTATTAAAATGTTAGTAAATATTTTATTAATTTTTTTTCTATGTTTATTATATATATTAGAAATTGAATGTATAATAAACTGAGCAAAAATTATTATAAATTATCGTAAAATTTTTATTTATTTAATTAGAAATATTATTCAATAAATCAGCAAAAATATTGTTTACAAAAACTTTAAACTTTATTATCAAAAATTTTAAGTACAGAAAAACAATTATAATTTATTCAAACATTTTCTTTCAATAGCAAACTACTAGTATATTATGAATCATAATTTTTTTGTGTGTGATTGAAATGTAAAATAAATTATTTATATCTGTTTTTTTTTTGTTTATATTATATAATAATAAATGATAACAACAACAACAACAAAAATTTTCATTATCATTAACTCTACTATTATATTTGATTTTTAAAAAATAAAATATATTTCATGATTTTAATTTTAAGAAAAGTTAATATATAACAATAAAAACAAAAAAAATAAAGCAAAAAAATAATAATATTTAAGATTAAATAAAATAATAAAATTTTATATAAATAATTCATCGCTACATTTCATTCTAATATAATAATACATAGATTTTATAAAAAAAGTATAACAAATATACAGTATATATATATATATATATATATATATATATATATATATATATATATATATCAGGGTTAAGCAAGGTTTTGGATTTTAGGGGGGGGGGGGGGTAGACCGGGGTAAAATTTACAAAATTCTCGAAAAATCTTGGGGGGGGGGGGGGGGGGGGGGGGGGGGGTATTGGGTGGGGTAAGATTTTTATAGCATTTTTAAACGGCAAGTTTTTCAAAAATCCAAAATCAAGGGGGATCAAGAGAAAATTCCCTAATGTTCCCTTAAATTCCCGAATATTCCCATGTAAATTAGATAAAGTTCCCATAAGTTCCCGTATAAATTCCCAGGAAAATAGGTAAAATTTCCAAAAATTTCCAAAAATACAAAAAAAACTTAAAAATTAACGAAAACTTAAATTTTAACAAAAAATAAATATTTTAAAAAAAATTTAAAAAATTAATAAAAACAAATTTTAACAAAAAATAAAATAATAATGTATTTAATACTTAAAAATAGTTTATAAAAGCATTAATGATACACTATGATTTTTCTTATTATTTTAGTAATTTTTAACTTTTAAAATAATACTTAATGTTTAAAGTTTATAGATTTATATTTTTATTTTTTATTGTTATTTTTATATAAATACTGACTGAATACTAAGTATAAAATTGAAAATATTTTTAATTTTTTATTAAGTTAAAATTTTAAAAATTTTTAATAAAAACCTTGTAATTTAAGTATTTGTTGTTTTGTTAACTTATTAAACTATCTTAAACTTATATTTAAATTGTAATATGATCACTTTTTTTAACAAATAAGTAATTATTTAAGTATACTGTGCTATCAAACAGGTAGTTGTTTAATAATAATTTGCAAATTATTTAATATCAACAATAATAATAATTGACCGATCATTGTGGGGCCAGTCAATGGCATTAATCATTAGCAATTTTGGAAACAGGTATTAATAAAATTTATCAATATATTAAAAATACATTACAATTGCACTAAAACAAGTAGAATAGATATATATATATATATATATATATATATAATAGAAATGTTATTAAACAATATAAGCATTATTATTATAGTAAAATATCAATTATATTTATATTTTTAAATTTTTATTAATTTTCATGTCTGTTAAAAAAATTTCAAATATCTTGTATTAATGTAATTTTATTAATATCTAATTATTTTGAATTCAAACAATACTATATGACGTCAAAATTTTCACTCAAAATTAAGGCCTGGTTAACACCAATGGTATCTTTTAGATATTGTAATTTACATGTAACTTGTTATATATATGAAAATAGTATTTAATTTAATATATAACTTATTATAATTTTTTTAAAAATGAATTTCTAAAAAAGTGTATATTAACATGAATATTGAATAATAGTTATTTAATATTTGCATGGTAATTTAAGTAATAATATATATATATATATATATATATAGTTAACGGTAATGTAAAATACAAATATATTATTATATTATTATCAAAACAATGTTGTTAAATAATTCATATTTAATTTTAATTTAATTTTTTTTAAATACTTTTATGTATAAATTTTTATTAAACTGATTACAAGTAGTAAAAAAATATATTCAATAATAAATTATAAAAACAGTATTTCATATAAATATTTCATATAAATATTTCAAACAATACATTGACATAATTAGTTTAATAAATAAATATTATTTTATTATCAATACTGACAATATATAAAAATAAATGAATTACAAATTTTTCAATAAACATTTTTAAAATGGTTATATAATAATACTATTAGTATTGAAAGTTATAATTTAAATTTAGATTTTAAGATTTAAACAATAAAATAAACTATTTTTTATCGTTATTTTTAATCAGATTCTCAATTTTATAGCCAATTTGTGTCACAGATTGAGATCTAATGTCATAATCTTTGGTAATAAGTTTACCCAAAACTGAAGCGACATTTTTGGCTACAAATTCATGGGTTTTTGCCATAAGATCTTCGTCGGCGCCAAAGTCTTGCAATAGTTTTAGTGTTTTGATTGCATTTTCGCCATTGATTTTCATGTAATACTGATTAAGACATATAGTCTTCAGCGATGCGACCAAATACCTGTCGGCGACGATCAACAGTTTCGGATACCATTTGTTCAAATCGTTACACTTTCCGGTGTATAGATAACGCAAAAACTTTCCAAAAACAATGCTATCGATGTCTTTGATGATCACTTTGTTGGTTGTCTTTTCTAAACAATCGGTGGTAAACATCTTCAGAAACACATCCGATCGGGCGCTGAGAATCAGTTTCGAGACGAAGAACACTGATTTGTTTTTGCCGACAACCAGTCGACAATCGCTTAGTTCGCGTATACCAAACAAATGATCAAATTTTAAACTACTATTGAAAACAATATTATTATTATTCTTGTGGACAGTCATGTCGACGACAACTGTTAGTTTATTGTCTGGCAATAGTCGATCCTTTTTGTCCATCAATTGTTTAGTTTTGATAAATACTTTGCTACCGAAGCCCTCTATCTTCTCAAATGTCCGATTATAGCTTCGTTTACCATAGATTTGATTATCATTGTCGACGATATACATGTCGTATTGGACTGAAATACATGACTCGTATGTCTGTATCAAATTCAAGTACAGACCGATATCATCGTTAAGACATTTAATACTTATTGTCCATTTGTCCGATAAAATCCTAAACTCTTGACTTTCAATAGTTTTCTTTTTTGTCCAATTAGTTTGCAAAATATCGGCAAAATTGTCGACTTTGAACCAAATTTTACATTTATTATGTAAACTGTTCTCTATCTTCAGCGATGTTGTAGTCATTGTTATTGTTTTACAGTATATCAACTATTTTGTTGTAATTAACAAACAAATTGTGGTTAAAAAAAATCACTTACAATAAAAACCGTTTATATATTTACAGTCCAATTTAATTTGTATAATATTTTTTTTGTAGAATATTCTAATGATTTAGTTTTACTATTGTTATTGTCTCGCATTAAGTGCGTGTACTGTATATACTGTATATATATATATAAAGTTTTGTATTATTTTTATTTTTAATTTATTATTAATTAATTTGTTTTACTAGTTCTCGAAAAAAAATTTCTCTACAATAATATCAATAAATTATTTTAAAAATATGACTTTAAAATTATTATTATCATAATTTAGGTTATATATACCATTATATAACATTTAAATAGATGTCAAAAAAAACTTTAATTTCAATACTATATTAATAATGTAAGGTATATTTTTTATTATTTTATAGTTTCTTAATAAATAATTAAATTAAATCATATAATTAGAAAAATAAAATTTTTCATTTATGTAATACATTGATATTTATTTTTATAAAAATAAACTAATATTACAATTCATAACTCTTAAGGTTAGATAAAGTTTAATAATATTTTAATCCTGAAAATAAATATCACATACAAAAATATATTGAATATAAATTGTAATAAAATGACAGTTTAGTTTTGTAGTAGCATTTGTAGTGATTTTTTAAAGTAAAATAAAATACAATAAATATTAAATAAGTATATTATATAAGTTTTAATCCTCAATATGAATAATATGACATGCATTTTAATAGCAATTATTGTACTGTAACTAAATTATACTGTATTAAATTATTCAAATTATAATGTCAATTATTATATAAATAATTAATTTTAATAAAAATATTTTTATTTTGCTATAGCATATCATAGATATTATATTTTTGTTAATTATTTTATAAAAAATATAGTACAAAATATATGATTAATATATTTGAAAACTAAATGTTGATAAAAATAATAATTAGTTTTTCTTAGTTATCATATTTTATATATAATAATTATATATAATATTAATTTAAGTAATATATATGATAATAGTAATACACATGTATTAATTGGAAAAATAACTACAAATATTAGTTTTAATATCAATATTATCTATTAAAATAAATATATTTATCAATACAATAAAAAAAATTGATTTCAGTATTCAATAATAATTTATAGTTCAGTAATAAATGTTATCATTATTAACCCATAATATATCAATATATAAATGAAAAACATTGATATAAATAATATTTAAAGTTTAAAATAAATTTTTTAAAAATATTAATAATGAAATTAATATTAAGTTTGTTTTTGATTTTGAGCCTACAATACAACATAAACTGTTCATTAAATGATAGACTTGATTGTTGGTTGGAAAGTAAGTGTCAAATAAACAAATAAAATAATAATTAATTTTAAAAATATATTTTTAATAATAAAATCTAATCAAATAATATTATTATAAATACAAACTAAGAAAAAAATAATATTATTATTTATACAACATTGTTATCATTTTTTTGTGTGTATTACTGTATTTTATAATTATTATTAGCAAACAGTAAATCTCTTTAAAAAAAAATCTTTATTATAATTATTATAAATTTTTAGATGATTTTAGCGTCGATAAGGTCTCCTGTGAACAGAGAGGTTGTATTTGGGACGGAGAGAAACGGCCGAACGGCGTTCCCATTTGCTATTTAGACCGCAATCGAGTGGGCTATCGGCGGGTCGGCGATATCCGCAATACTACGACCGGTTTACAGTTGGATTTGTCGCTGAAAGACAGTGCCCGATCGGTACTGACAAAGTCACCGCAAGTAGAGTCAGTACGGGTTGAGTGGACATATCTGACGGATCGTATTGTTCGGGTAAAACTTGTGGACCCGACAACCAAGAGATATGAGGTTCCCATTCAGCAAAACTTTCCGCTTTTAGTTGACAAACAATTATCAGTAGTTGATCCACAAAAACTACAATACAGTGTAGACATTGGCCAAGATTTGGATGACTTTAGTTTTTCAATACAGAGAAAGTCGACAAAAACTAAAATGTATGAAAACATATATAACTTATTTATTACTTATTATTATTATTATTATTATTACAAAATAATTGACTGGACTGGAAATACTGGACTAAACCTTGAACCTTGAAGTTTTGATACATCAATCGGTGGTCTGATATTTAGCGACCAATTGCTACAAATAGCTACCCGATTGCCGACGGCCAACGTGTACGGTATGGGCGAAAATACACACCATTCCCTCAGACACGACTTTAACAATTATAAGACGTTTCCATTGTTTACACAGGACAGGGGTACCGGTGATGTATGTTTTTATCTGCCTATTAATCCATTTTTTTTATTAACCACTTATTTAATCATTATTTATTTGGTTATCCCAATCAATACTAACCAATAATTTTTAGGAACAATTCAACTATTATGGTGTCCATCCGTTTTATACATGTCTGGAAAGTGATGGTCAATCTCATGGCATACTTTATCTAAGCAGCAATGCTATGGGTATTAATATACTATTTAAATGCCACTTAATACATACCTGTATCTGTATATAATAATTTTTATCAATAAAAAAAATAGAGTATACATTGCTCCCGGAGCCGGGCCTATCATTTAAAACACTGGGCGGTGTATTAGATATGTTTGTGTTTGTCGGCGATAATCCGGAACACGTGATCGAGTTGTACACATCGCTGATCGGACGACCAATTTTGCCGCCATTCTGGGGACTGGGCTTTCAATTGACTCGTTGGGGATATAAAGGTACAGATGATGTGCGCGGAGTAATCGATCGTAATTTAAAAGCCAACGTTCCTCTGGTATTATGTTATATATTTACTTTTAGACATATAAAACCAAATTAAACTTTTTTTTCTAAAAATCATATATTTTTAATTAGGATGTCATGTATATGGATATCGATTACATGGATCAATATCACGACTTTTCCTACAATAAACAAGCTTTCGGTCAATTGCCTCAACTGATTAATGATACCAAAACCAATAGTAACCTTCACTGGACACTAATCCTGGATCCGGCCATCGAAGCCGTGGACAAAGACAATCAAGTATTTATGGACGGCTATAGTCGCGATGTTTACGTCAAATGGGATAAAAGTATTGCTAAGAAAGACAGATATAATCCGCCAAACGTACCATCAGATCGTGATGTATTGTATGGAAAAGTATGGCCCCGGGGACCGGTAGCTTTTCCTGATTTTTTCAAAAATGTTACCCAGGACTGGTGGCTTAGGTGGGTCGTCAAACTGCACAATGATCTCAAATTTGATGCCCTATGGATTGTAAGAGTGTATTGCTATTATAATTTTTTTTTTTAGTTATGAAAAGTTTTAATCATTATTATTGTAATTTAATAATGCATTTTAATAAAAACATAATGTGTGCGCTCATGTAGGATATGAACGAACCGTCCAATCTGATTGATGATAAAGTCTATCACTGTCCACAAAATAAATACGATTATCCAGCTATTAGGACAAGTATGTACAATATATGTCAAGTCAATCCGTATATCATAATAAAACTATACAATTAATAAATCCATACCAAAACTGTTATCATTATTGTAGAGGTTCTCTATGGTAACAATATCCGCGATTTGGGTCACAAAACCATATGTATGACTACCAGACAGGGCGATAACAATGGGCACCTGCACTATGACGTCCATTCATTGTACGGCCTAACCGAGACTATGGCCACACAAAAGTTTGTTTTAAACAATTTGTTTGTCAATTATAAATTAATATTATACATACTGTTGTATACCTGTATTGTATCTACCAATTAGGGCTATACATGCAGCGACCGGCAAACGTGGGTTTGCCGTTTCCCGTTCAACATATGTATCGTCGGGCCGGTACGGCACCCACTGGTTGGGCGATAATACCAGTGAATGGCCACACATGAAGTACTCGATAATTGGTATACTCGAGTTCAATATGTTTGGCATTAATTTTGTAAACACTTTTTATTTTATTTATTTTTTTTTGTTGGAAAATATTACACACAAATACAACTTTTCTATAAAAAAGATAAAATAAAATTTTTTCAATAATAGGTCGGACCAGATATTTGCGGTTTTGGCGGCAATACAACACCCGAACTGTGCAAACGGTGGCACCAATTGGGCGCCTTCTATCCGTTTAGTCGTAACCACAACTGTATCGGTAGCCGAGATCAGGACCCGGCCTCGTGGATAACGGCCGGTCATCCTGAGGTCACTGAAGCCATGAAAGTGTCATTTGGTTTACGCTACAAACTGCTACCCTATTTCTATACATTGTTCTACAGGGCTCATACCCGGGGCCAGACAGTGGCCAGACCCGTGTTTCACGAGTTTCCCACCGATAACAATACCTATTCAATTGACGAACAGTTTATGTTTGGACCGGCAGTACTGGTGTCACCGTTTCTCTATGAGGTATATGTACCGTATAGCACAAGTAGTTTACTAACTAGTATTAAAAAAATTATTATTAAAATTTTAGGGTCAAAAACAAGTGAAAGCCTATTTACCCGATAACACTGTATGGTATGATTTAAATCTAAACCGATCGAAATCGGGTTATATAGCTATCGATGATTATGGTATAATACCCGTACATTTTCGAGGCGGTTATGTACTGCCCATCAGTTCCGACTATCCGCATGTCAATACCCGAACCGTTAGAGAGGGCGGTATCAATCTGTTGGTATTACCCGATCAGAGTGGCCGAGCCGTCGGCGACTTTTTCTGGGACGACGGCGACAGTATCGATACTATCGAAAAATCAGTGTATAATTACTATACGTTTTCGGTGGCAAACAATTCGCTGGATTTGCAAATTGAAAAACTAAATTATAAGACAAAACAGTTATTAAAATCAATAGAAATATTGTCCAGCAATGAGGGCCAGACATGGACTGTCACATTGGATGACAAACCATTGCCGTCGGTCAAAGTTAATCGAGGATTGGCCAACATTGCCGTCAACATTGATTTGTTCGGCAAATCGGTTGGACAAAAGTGGACACTAAAATGGAAACCCGTTTGATTACCAAAATTTGATTATATAATTAATTATTGATATAACAACTAAAATATAATTAACAAAAAAAAAGTTATATTAAAGTACTTAAAGTACTTAAAGTAATTAATTATTGATATATGAATTGAATATATTTTAGTATTTTTTTATTACTTGTAATATCGGTTTCAGAAGACTTTATGCATAAAAAGTATTTTTAAAAAAAATAAAATTAAAAGTAAATGTTAATTATTTGACAATAATATAACTATTGATATATTACTTAAATTACTATACAAATATTAAATAACTGTTATTCAATATTTATGTTAATATACACTTTTCATAAAAGAAATTCATTAAAAAAAAATTATAAAATTATAAATTATAATACTTTATACTATATATTATATTTACATATATAAACGTTTAGGATTGCTAATCATGCAATTTATGTAAATTACTCGTAAATTTAGTGAAACATTACAACAAATTTTACATGTAAATTACAATATATAAACGATACCATTGGTGTTAACTAACCAAATAAAAAGACATTATTAATCAAATCAATAAATTTAATATCACATATAAAATCATATAATATATCAATTAAAAATGTTACCAATTTCTCACTGTCCTAATCATAAAGTTATAGGTATTGTTGTTGTTGTGACAAAGTATATGTAAATTTTAATTATTAAATATATGAGAAATATTTTTTTTTGACAATCAAAAAATTATTTAATTAAATAAGAAATTCAATTATAATTGTATACTAATTAATATTATAATTATAGTAATTATAATTAAATCTCTATTGAATTAGAATTTAATGTCGAAATATAATTTTCAAAATGTCAAATAAAAATGTTTTTTTTACAATTTAAATATAACTATATATATAATGTTTAGAAAATATATATTTGATTAATTAAAAAAATAATTATCTAATAATATATTTAATAATTTTTTTTAAAATTTATTAAAACAAAAGCCATTAGAAGTTAAGACTCTTCAGTTTGGGAAAGAAGAGCTCCATTAGCACCGATTCATGTGAGACAACTGGTGATGAATGGCGTGAAAGTTATAGTACAGCCGTCTAACCGAAGAGCTTATCCATTGCAATCGTATGCCGAAGCGGGTGCTGTCATTCAAGAGGATATTAGCGAAGCACCGGTAGTTATCGGTATAAAACAAGTATCGATTTATTTATTACTTCCAAACAAAACCTATGCTTTCTTTTCGCATACAATCAAAGCTCAAGAGGCAAATGTGCCACTTCTTGATGCTATTCTCGATAGAAATATCAGGTATTTAATAGTATTTTTAGTTTAAAACTTTTTAAAATATAATTGACTTTTAATTACAGATTAATAGATTACGAAAAAATGATACCAAACAATGGTAACCAACGTTTGGTATCATTTGGTAGATATGCCGGAATTGCCGGTATGATTGACATCAATGCATGGTTTAGGACTTAGACTGTTAGCACTGGGCCATTAAACACCGTTCATGTATATCGGTCGGGCGCATAGCTATCGCAATAGTCGTATGACTAGGCAGGCTGTCCGCCAAGTTGGCTACGATATTGCATTGTCAATGATGCCACCATCAATAGGTCTACTTATATTTGTCTTTACCGGCTCAGGTATGTAAAGATAACACTATTGTTGTCTATAAATCTCGTCTAAATGCCATTTATATATAGGAAATGTATCTCAAGGAGCCCAAGAAATATTTCAAGAGTTGCCCTACGAGTACGTCGATGTAAAAGATTTGTCAAAAGTGGCCCAATTGGGTGAACCAACCAAAGTCTATGGATCTATTGTCAGTCGCTCTGATCATTGGATACGCAAAGATGGCGGTGACTTTGATACAGACGAGGCAAACAAACATATACAGTGTTTTATAATATATACATGATCTCTTTGCCCGCTTTTCAATGGTTGCGGCGCTAAGGACCTGTCCTCTTGGTTTTTTGGCCAACTTTTTCTTTAAAACATTGCGGATCTGGTAGTTGACAACCCATTCATTAGTTTTCAATTGTTGTGCCATCGCTTTCTGTGTGATTGGATTGGGATTTTCCACCATTTTCTTCAATCGACTTAATTGGTTAGTTGAGAGGACACTCTTTTTGCCTCTCAAGTCGGGTTTCTTTGGGATATTGTCCGCTATTTTTGGCGCATTTTTTATCTTAGATATCATACTCTTAGATAACGGGATGCCCTTTGACTCGAAATATTTAATTATCACCGAAAATGACCAGTTTATGTCTAAAAACGCCTTTACTTGTGCCCGAACTTCGGGCGTGACCTTTGGCCACATTTTCAATTGCACTTTTAATTAAAAAATATCACAATAATTATATAACACTATAGTTTGTTTTGTTATGAAAATAAATATTTTAAACACATGTTTAGACAGTCAAATCTTACATCAAATACGTTCACAAGTTCATCCAATATCCCTGTATTTGGTTGTATTTTTGTTTTGTATGCCTTTAATTAAAAGGTAATATCATTGGAAATAAGTAAATCTAATTGTAAATCTAATTAACACGCTAAAAACACTAAATTACATTATTTTTATAAATACAGTTGCTTTTTAGCAATTTAAATTGTCAGGCAAATAAAAAATATGCCCAAAATGCCTGGCATTTATAGCATCTATTTGGGCATTGCCAGGGCAGGCATTTATTTCCATAAAACCCTGATAATAACATTGAATTGACTGATAGTTTTCCATTGAAATACATAATGTATTGCAAGTATGGATATAGATAGTGGTCTCCACAAATAGAGGATGTGATAAAAGGGTAGGTGCGTGGGGGGAGTCATTTAATACACAATGTACTACAACATAAGGGTCTATCAGTGACTGCTCAATAACATTGAAAAAAATTTTTATTGTTGCCAAAAAAATAACAATTATATATAATTCTTATAATTTTGCTTTTTATATTATTATTTTTATTAATTTGTTTTTTTTTAAATATTAATGATTCTTTTTATTTAAATCAAATTATCGATAATTTTAAATATTTAAATAATAACTTATTTATGAAAATTTGTCTTAATTGTACATATTTTCATACTTGCAATATATAATACAGTATGTAAACGTTTAAATTGAACAGATTACCTTGGTGCAATAATTTTATACAATAGAAGTCTAGTTAATGAAAGTACCATGATAAGTAAATTTTTTCAACTATTATTTTTTTAAACAAATATGATATTATAATTGACATTTTTTATTTAAAGTGTTATTTACAATAAATAAATAAAATATAAATTTTAAAAAATGTCAATTATAATATTAGATTTAATTAAAAAAATAATAGTTGATAAAATGTACTTATCATGGTACTTGCATTAGATAGATATCTATTGTATAAAATTATTGCACCAAGGTTCAATTTACACTTTACATACTGTATATTGCATTTGTCAATACATATAACACAACAACAACACCGATGACCACAACAACAACAGAAATGGACACAACAAAGACCAGGATATCAATGCTGGACATCAGTGTCCACAATAAGTGTAGAATTTGGTTCAAAGTCGACAACTTTGCCAATATATTGCTAACATCTTTGACAAAAAAGAAAGTATTTTACAGCCAATCGTTTACCATTTCGACAGACAATTGGCTAATCCGTATTGAATGTCTTAACAATAAAATCGGTCTATACTTGCATTTGTTGCAGTCGTACGACACATCGGTTTCGGTTGAATACGATTTGTATTAAGTGGACAACAATAACCAATTATATGGTAAACGATATTTTATTGAAATATTTGATAAAATACAGGGCAAAGGTTGCGAAAAGTTTATTAAAAAACACAAATTGATGGCCAATAAGGACCAACTATTGCCCAACAATGCACTTACTGTAGGCGCCGACATCACTGTCCACCACAAGAATAATGATTGTAATAGTGGTTTGAAATTTGATCACTTGTTTGGTGTCCGCGATCTATGCGATTGTCGACTGATTGTCGGTAAGGATAAGAAAAAGTTTTTCGCCTCAAAACTGGTTCTCAGCGCCCGATCGGAAGTCTTTCGTCTAATGTTTACCACTGATTGCTTGGAAAAGTCAACCAATGAAGTAGTCATCGATGACATCGATAGCGATGTCTTCAAGACGTTTCTTTGGTATCTATACACCGAAAAGTGTAGTCAATTGGACTATTGGTATCCGAAACTGTTGATCGTCGCCGACAAATATTTGGTCCAATCGCTGAAGACTATATGTCTTAATCAGTATTACATGAAAATCAATGGCGAGAATGCAATTAAAATACTTAAACTGTTTCAAGATTTTGGCGCCGATGAAGAACTTATGGAAAAAACTGTTGAATTTGTTGCCAAAAATGTCGCTTCAGTTTTGGGTAAACTAATTATCAAAGATTATGCTATTAGAGAGGATGTCGTATCAAAAATTAACGACAAAATTAGTAAATTGAATGATTAAAATCTAAAATTAAAATTATGCAATTCATATACTGAACATATTATTTTAAAAAAATAATTTTAGTTATATATGATATGATAATTAAGTTTAAAAATTTATATAAATCATATATGTTTTGTAATTTTGTTTTGGCTTTTTTGGTTGTTTCAACAAAATTAAACTATTAATTATAAACAAAACAAAACAAAAATTAACTATTTTAATAATATATTAAAATAATTACCGATAAATTACATTTTTATTGCAAAACATGTGATATTTGTATTAAAGGATTAGTATTTGCAATAAAACTTTAAAATTTATTTATAATCAACAAAATAAAACTTGATTTCAATTTGGAGATAACATTCAAATGCCTTTACATTAGACTCATTACTATAGTATATAAATGTAATGTTATTTGAAATAAAAAAAAATAAATTCAGATTAATTATTATTAATAAGTTTGTGACTAATAATTGACACGTGTTTGACATATCATAATTGACCACAAGTTTACCGCAACAACAACAACAATAACCAATAAAAAATGTCAGCCGAAGAAACCGAGACAACAATTTTGGACACCAATGTCAGCCATAAATGTAATTTTTTAGTCAAAATCAATGATTTTACAAGAATTTTGGAAAACGATTGGTCAGAAATGGCCGATGAATTCTATAGCGATTTAGTTACCATTGGATCAGATAAATGGCTGATGAAAATCGATTGTCACAACGAAAACATCGGTCTTTATCTAATATTAAGACAAACCTATCGGTCATCGGTTCCCATACACTGTTCAATGTATATCTTGAACAGTGATAACAAAATCTATGGCAAAAGATATCTGAATTCAACTTTCGATGTAAATGTCGGTCAGGGATACAAAAGTTTTATGAAAAAACAACAATTTCTGAATAATCCTAATAATAATAACCTATTATTGATCAACAATGCACTTACTATTGGTGTCGACATCACTGTCCATCGCAAGAATAATAATGATTGCAATAATAATAATAGTTTTATGAAATTTGATCACTTGTTTGGTGTCCGCGAACTAAGCGATTGTCGACTGATTGTCGGTAAGGATAAGAAAAAGTTTTTCGCCTCAAAACTGGTTCTCAGCGCCCGATCGGAAGTCTTTCGTCTAATGTTTACCACTGATTGCTTGGAAAAGTCAACCAATGAAGTAGTCATCGATGACATCGATAGCGATGTCTTCAAGACGTTTCTTTGGTATCTATACACCGAAAAGTGTAGTCAATTGGACTATTGGTATCCGAAACTGTTGATCGTCGCCGATAAGTATTTGGTCGGATCGCTGAAGACTATATGTCTTAATAGATATTATATGAAAATCAATGGCGAGAATGCAATCGAAACACTGAAACTATTTGAAGACTTTGGCGCCGATGAAGATCTTATGGCAAAAACACATGATTTTATCGCCAAAAATGTCGGTTCAGTTTTGGGTAAACTTATTGAAAAAAATTTCGACATTAAATCTGAATCTGTTTCACAAATTGGCGTCAAAGTTGATAAACTGTTTAAAAATATTGATAAAAAATAATTTTATTTTTATAAATTTTTTTTTTAAATATTTTAATTACTTTTAAATGATTTTTTAAATAATGTATATAAATTGTCGACTAAATTGTATATTAATTTTTATATGTGTCGGTAATCTATTAAAAATCATGTATATCTCCATATATATATACTATATATTTGATAAAATAGTAGAAACTTTTTAAAAAATAAATTATTTTAATGACTAAATTTATTTTTATTTTTTTAAACATTTGACATATAAACTAATATTTATAATTAATATAAATTTAAACTATATAATAATTATTACCAGAGATCGAGACAATATCGGTTTATACTTGCGATTTGTTCAGACATCGATCAGTTTTATCAGTTTCCGTCCAATACGACATGTATGTCGTGGACAGTGATAATCAAATATATAACAAACTAACCATTAGTCGGATATTTAAAAACATACAGAACTGGGGTTACAAACAGTTTATCAAAAAACAACAATTGATTGACTTGAAGGATAGGCTATTGGTCGACAATGCACTTACTATAGTCGTCGACATCACTGTCCACCACAAGATGACTAATTGCTCAAAATGTCTTAAATTTGATCACTTGATTGGTGTCCGCGAACTAAGCGATTGTCGACTGATTGTCGACTGATTGTCGGCAAAGATCGGAAAGAATTTTTCGTCTCGAAACTGGTTCTCAGCGCCCGATCGGAAGTATTTCTGAAAATGTTTACCACTTCTTCTAAGTGTTCGTCGAATAAGAAGATGAAGATGAAGATGAAGACAACAACTAATGAAGTTATTATCGTCGACGACGACATCGATAGCTATGTGTTTGAAAAGTTTTTGAACTATCTGTACACTGGAGAGTGCGATAGTCTGTATATCTGGTATCAGGAACTGCTGGTCATCGCCGACAAGTATTTGGTCCAATCGTTGAAGACTATGTGTCTTAATTGGTATTATATGAAAATCAATGGCGAAAATGCATTGAAAATATTTCAAGATTTCGGAGCCGATGGAGAACTTATTGGAAAGACCTGTGAATTTATTGCCAAAAATGTTGGATCAGTTTTCAGTAAAGAAATTGAAAAACATTATAAAATTAATTCAGAAATTTTATCTGAAATTAATGACAAAATTGATAAATTGATAACAATTACACATAAAACATAATAATTTCAGTTATGCTGTTATATAATAAGTTAATTAATTATTTTTAAAAAATAACTAAATAAATAAATACTAAATTTATTTATACCTATATTATAATTACTGTAATAAGTAGTGTTCAATAATAATAATACTAATAATAGGTATTATTGATATTGTTTCGCCTAAATTGCTAATATAATAGAGATATTATCATTTACTAACCATTTATTTATGATTAATATTTTTTTTAATAAATAACTGTTCAAAATTTGAACTTCAAATAGGGTGCCGGTGCTGTCCCTTAGTCGACACATTGACATATAGACTAATACTTATAAAATATAAAGTTTATTATTATATAAATTAAAAGTTATAATTAATATAATAAACTTTATATGCTATTTATAATATTAAAACATTAGTATTAAACATAAACTTTACGTAACATATACTAAAAAAATTTAAACTTTTATTTTATATTTTTTATATAAGACTTTTTTATGTTTATATATTTGAATTAATATCTCCTATTGACTGTAAATGTTTTGACCAATAGTTACATCAACAACAACAATGGCCACCACTAAGACAGTGATGGACAACAGTATAATCAATAAGTGTAAAGTCTTGTTCAAAATCGACAACTTTGCCGATCAATTGCAAACAGATTTGCAAACAAAATCGACAGAATTTGATTGCAATATCTTTACCATTGAATCGGATAAATGGCAAATCATTGTCCATTGTCTTAACGATAACATTGGTCTATACTTGCGATTAGTTCAGACATACGAATCATCGGTTTCGGTCCAATACGACATGTATATCGTGGACAGCGATAACCAATTATATGGCAAACGAAGTATTAATCATACGTTTGATAAAGCAATTAGTTATGGATTTGCATTGTTTATCAAAAAACAACAATTGATGGATAATAAAGATGTATTATTACCCGATAATGCACTTACTGTTGGCATCGATATGACTGTCCACAAGAAAAATGATTGCAACCGGTATTTAATAGTCAATGACTTGTTCGGTATCCGCGAACTAAGCGATTGTCGACTAGTTGTCGGCAACTATAGGAAAGAGTTTTTCGTCTCAAAACTGGTACTCAGCGCCCGATCGGAAGTCTTTCGTAAGATGTTTACCACCGATTGTCTGGAGCGGACAACCAATGAAGTGGTCATCGACGACATCGAAAGCTATATATTTGAAAAGTTTTTGCACTATCTATACACTGGAGAGTGCGAAACGTTATGTTTCTGGTATAGAGAACTGTTGGTCGTCGCCGATAAGTATTTGGTCGGTTCGCTGAAGACTATATGTCTTAATTGGTATTATATGGATATCAATAGCCAGAATGCAATCGAAACGCTGAAACTATTTGAAGACTTTGGAGCCGATGATGAACTAATGGCAAAGACCTATGATTTTATTGCCAAAAATGTCGGATCAGTTTTCGGTAAATTATTGGCTAAAGATTATGACATTAAATCGGAATCTGTGTCTGAAATTGGCTACAAAATTGATAAATTGTATAAAAATATTGTTAAAAAATAATGTTTTTTTTTGTATAATTAATATTATTGATCAAAAAATTTAATTAATATATTATAGATCCTTATTTACAATAAGTTAATTATTATTTATAATTTTATTAAATTAACAAATCAATAAATTGCTAAAATTATCAATCTAATTATAGTACAGTATAAACTAATTAATTTTTATAATATTAATAATAATTAATATAAACTTTGTAATACATTAAAAACTATTTAAAAGCAAAAATTTTAGTAGTAGTAGTAGTAGTAGTAGTAGTAGTAGTAGTAGTAGTAGTAGTAGTAGTAGTAGTAGTAGTAATGTTAATAATAGTAGTATTGTATTTGTTTGTGATAGTCATGGCATAAATCTGTTAATTTGTTAACTACTATATTATAGTTATTAAACATCATTAATATTTTATTTGCTAACTCAATTATGTCTAAAAAATGACTACCCTTCCCAAACTACCCGATCAATTGATTACATATATACAGTTATATAGCCCAATGTGTTATCTGGTGACAGCACACACACACACACATTATAGGAACAGTTGTTATTTACACAGTGATCCTTACCGTGTGGTTGTTATTATATAATTTTAAACTGATTTATAGCTATTTATTACAATTATATTATAATTACTGTTATCGGCAAATGTTGACTAATAATAATAATAATAATAATAGTTATCAGTAGTTTTATTGCCAAAAATGTTGGTTCAGTTTAGATAAACTAAATAAATAACATTACGTCGAATATTTAGTTTTTGTTAAGTTATATAAACTTTAAATTTATAGAAATAATTGATAAATTGATTATAAATTGTTTTGTTTTTATTTAATTTGCAAAAAAATATTGAATTAGTTTTGAGTAAACAAATTGAATATTATTAGAAAATTAATGTAAAAACTGTGTCATAAATTAGTTACAAAATTGATAAATTGATTAAAACTAAGTAATCTAAAGATAAAATTTATAACTATTATTATTTAATTAGTGTTATTATTATTATATATTATTCTAAAGTTATTATTGTTTTTATTTTTCTCAAATGTTTGCTAATTATAGGGATAATTGATGTTGTTTTGGCTAAAATATCTCTAATCTAATAGAAATTACAATTCAGTATATCTATGATATGATTAATATTTTTCAAATGACTGTTCAAATGTATGGTCTGATAGATATTATTTATTTTTGAAGATCCTGTTGTTAAGCGAAAAACATGTTTGATATTTGTATTAAGGATTAGATTAAAATAAATTAATAGTTTTAAACACTATATACTAATCTGTTTGGTATTTCTAATGAAATAACAATATCATACACTCTGTGTGTATATAAATAAATGTTTTTTCAATACAAAATAAATTATATTAATTTTTGTCAAATAAAATCTATACTTTTAATTACTTTAGTTTAAAACGTGTTATTGAATCGTAATTATTATATATATCTATTAACTGGAAGTGTTTGACCACACAATTAGACAGTGAAGACCGTAAATATGGCCACAAAGACAGTCATAGACAACAGTGTTCCCAATAAATGTAAAGTTATCTTCAAAGTCGACAACTATACCAATGTTTTGCAAAATAATATCTCAAATGTTTTCCCAACATTTAAAAGTGATATCTTCACCATTTCATCAAACAAATTGCAAATCAGTATTGAATATACATCTAAAGACATTACTATTTACTTTCATTTGGTTGAGACATCCAAGTCATCGGTTTCTTTCCAATATGACATGTATATCATGGACTCTAATAACAAAATATATGGCAAACAAAACAAAAATGCGACAATTTATCGAAATATAGGTTCTGGGCTTACGTTTACCGACAAACAACAATTGATGGATAATAAAGAGCTATTATTACCCAATAATGCACTTACTGTTGGCGTCGACATAACTGTCCTGAAGAATGGTATTTGTAATAAATGTTTTAAATTTGATCATTTGATTGGTGTCCGCAAACTCAGCGATTGTCAACTGATTGTCGGCAAAGACAAGAAAGAGTTTTACGCCTCAAAACTGGTTCTCAGCGCCCGATCGGAAGTCTTTCAAAATATGTTTACCAATGATTGTCTGGAAAAGTCATCCAATAAAGTGATTATTGATGACATCGATAGCGATGTCTTTGAAATATTTTTGCGATATCTATACACCGGAGAGTGCGACCAATTGGATGAATGGTATGACAAGTTGTTGATCGTCGCTGACAAGTATTTGGTCGAATCATTGAAGACTCTATGTCTTAATGAGTATTACGAGAAAATCAATGTCGAGAATGCAATGAAAATATTAAAATTATTTCAAGACTTTAGCGCCAATAAAGATCTTATGTTAAGGACATATGGATTTGTTGTCTATAATGTCGGTTCACTATTTAGTAAACTAATTGGAAAACATTACGAAATAAATGCTAAATCTGTTGCAGAAATTGGCAAAAGAGTTGATAAATACATTAAAAATAGGGATTTAATAAATTATCATTAAAAATAGTTTATAAATAACAATGAATTCAAATTTATATTATGAAGTTTACATAATTGATATTAATATTGTAATTTTTTTTGGAAATTATTTAATAATAATAAAAAAGTATTATAAAAAATTTATATTTTTTTCTAACTTTATTTAAAACAAATTTTAATATCTATTAAATCTTAACATAATTTATATAACAGTTTTAGATTTATATCATACAGTTATATCATGTAATGATAGTTGGATTAGTACTGATAATAATGATAATAGTATTATGTGTTTGTTATAGTTATGCCATAAATGCGATGACTTATTGGTTATCATATTAGTAGTATAGTTAAACATAATTATTTTGTTTGTTAACTCAATTTTATCCAAACATTGACTACCGTTCCAAACTACCCGACCAGTTGGACACATACACCTATAACCCATTGTATTATCTGGTGTCGGAACACACATATGGGAACAGTTATGATCTGTACAGTGATCCTTACCCAGCGATTGTAGGGAACGGTCAACGATTCTAAACTGATTTATACCGATATTATAATTACTGTCCATTATTATTGACGGAAAGTGTTCATTACTACTACTAATAGGTATCATTGATATTGATTTGCCTAAATCGCTAATCCAATAGATATTACCGTTTAGTATATTAATGTTGGGATTAATATTTTTGAAATAACTATTCAAATGGGTATAGACTTGTTTGCCAGTGCCGTCATAGCCGACACAGACTAACATTGCTACAGATAGTTGTCGCGACTCACGATAACTTGTTAGCCAACAAACACGTCTGTTATGAATATCCAGTGTCAACGACTTGGCAATGGCATCCCTGTCCTCGGCTATCACTCTAATATGATGGCCATCCTGTGTTGAGCGCATAACTCTGGGTGTCATTTGTATACTATTGTAGGAAAATTCTGTCCAAAATACTAGCGAAACCTGTGGATCAACTCTGATATCGCTGATTCTTGGGACCGGTTTGTCACTGTTGTATATCTGTACCATAGCTACCGGTGCCAACAGTCTAACAGCCATTAGACCAAAATTTCTGTTAGTTTCATTGCAAACCGGTATATACAATAAATAGTGTATCCAATCGACAGCCAATGCTATATCGCGATCATAGGTCATACAGTCGTAGGTCATCGATAGGACAGTACGAGTTGACTCCTGGCCGACATTGTTGGCCAGTGACGGATCCAGTATTTTCGTATACAGTGAAACGTTTGATTTGTCAAACATTAGCCATACAATAAAATTGCCAAAAATACTGTAGTCCAGTGCCAGTCCAGTGTGTCTCAGTTGTTCATAAAATATTGTATGCAAATGGTTGACCCGATTTTGATGATGATGTTGGTGGTGGTGGTGCTGATGATGGTGGGTATCGACCAATTTAAACAGTCTCATTTGGGCACCAGAATATTCCTTGACATACAGTATTAATGGCAGATTAGTTGACAGTAGGGTACGTACGGCACTGGCATTGTAGGTGTTTCTCGATGTTTTGGTGTCTGACTTGGGATTATAGTCTGATGTATGGATATCATTGAATAAGATATTATTATTATTATTATCATTCAATAAACAATTATTAGTAATAAAATTGTTGAATACAGTAATAATTATAAGATATAACTTGTATTTTATATAGAAATTCATTATTTCTACTAACTATTCAATATATCAGCAAAAAAATAACATAACTATAAAAAAAAGTTATAATAAGTTTATTTTTAGATAATTATTTTTACACAAAAAAAACTTTTGAATTATCAACATTAACTCAAATCATTAAATCAAAATAAATGTTATTAATGAGTTTTAGTATTATTGTATAAATAAATAAAATAAAATAATTAACAATTTATTATATATATAGTAATAAATATCATTTACTGTACACTTGTAATCACAATAAAGCTATAATATTAAAATATAATGACAAATCACATTTATAATAACAATTTTTATTAACTTTTTTTTATATACTTATAAACATACAGCTAATACTGTACTATAATAAATATTACAATAAATACTGTTAAAAAACTAAAAATACAATTAGTGTAATACAATAAAAAAAAGTTATTCAAAGTACATAATAGAAAAAAATTAAATCAATTGATTTTAATTAGTTTTGATGAGGAAATGCAATCACTTTCTGTACATTTAATAGACAGTATTAAACACATAAAAACCTTGAATTGTATATTAATTTTTAAAAAACAATACAATTTATGAACAGTATTTAAATGTTTTAATATATTAATATTTATATTTAACATTGTCTTAAATTTATGTGACAAAAAAACTAGTGATCAATAAAAAAAATCAAAACTTTTTGTGTTGATTAAAACAATGTTTATTATAAAATTTATATTTATTATAGTTATTATGTAATTTAAAAAAAACAAAATAATTTTTTAGTTAATAGTTTCACTAATTTTATATAAATATCTGTATAAATAAGTTTTATAAAAATAATTTTATTGATAATAAATTAATCATTAATTAGTTTTACTTAAGCATAAATTTATAGAAAAATAATTATTTTTTTTGTTAATTTTATTTTAATAATAAACTAATTTATCAGAGAATCCAGTAAATTGTAATTATGGCAAATAAATAGAAAATTATTAAATAATTATTTGAATTTTATTTGCATTTTATTAATGATATACAACTTTAGCTCATTTTGATATTATAATTATAAAAACAAAATAAGTTATAAATAGACAACAGCTATGACCTATAGTACCGGTAGTATTGAATTTATTGTTAGTTTATATTGAAATTTATTTTATTTTTTTGGACACATTTACACAACAAAAGTGATAACAACAAAAACAATGTTGTTGTCAAAAATGTCGGATCAGTTTTGGGTAAACTAATTGAAAAACTAATTTATTATTATTATTATAAGTATTATTTAAAAAAATTATATATTAAATATTATGGATTACTAATTATTATACCCTACAGTATTATTAATATTATTATCATTGTATTTATTATCATCAAAACAATTAATAATTGTCTTTTGATTGATTAATAAAATTATTATTATTATAATAATTAATAATTTTTATTGAATATATAATCATTTTTACACTTAGATAACTAATAAAATAATTTCCAGTTTTTAGTATAATTGTATTGATATTATAAAAAAAATTATTATTATATTGTATTTCAATGTAATAGTTATTATTAAAGTTTTTTATAAAAAAAAAATCTTATTACTATACAAGGAGAAAAATTTCCGATTAGTTTTGGATCAACTAATTAATACTATAATATTAATTATTATTTTTATTAGATATTATCGCTCATTTTTAAAAAAATTAATATTTAATATTATTAAAATAAACTGTTTGTAGGCAACAAAACTCATACAAAATACATAAAGTAAATAAATACAGATTAAAGGTATTAATATTTAAATACAAAAATTTTATATCAAATATAGCAAAATAAAATCACATGATATTTAAAATTAATAATAAAACATATTTGATGTTAATATTAATATCAAATACAAATTGTATTATAATTTTTGATAAAAGGAAATATTGAAATTATTTTTGTTTTAAAATAAAATTCATATCATTAGTAATAATACTAAACTTTTATTATAATTATTATTTTAAATTGTTGTGTGTAGTATTGTTTAGTTCCAGAGGAATGTCTACTCAGACAATAAATGCCTAAATAGACCGGTCGGTACTTAGCGTGGGTCGGTATGAGACCTGTACTTCCCGTCTAATCGATACTAAACACTAGTAGATATGAGTCGTTATGAGACAGATATCTACTATAAGATCACCAGTTAAGTCGTTATTAGACCAACAGGTGATATAAGAGCCGATCTTGCAGTTGTGGTACACGAGTGGTAGCCAATGGGTTGATCCAAGCCTTCAATGTATGACAAACCAAATCTATGGTCAGCGGAGCGGTATATCTTGTGAATCAGTGAACTTGACGGTCGGTGCCTGTAATGAATTGGTGGTCACTTTGTGGACCGGTCACTGATGTAGGAATGATTGGACACAAGATATCAATAATAGTCACTTTATTATAAAAGGTTAACAATTAAAACAATGGTTAAAATAATGGTGGATAAGATAGTACACGTGTTGTACAGTATGTAATAAAAGTAAGTATAAAAGTATTGACTGAGAGGGATGTATGGTATGACTGGTATTAAGACACTAACTGCCTGTTTGACTGTTGGTACTGTATTTATACTGTACAGTCAAACAGGTAGTAGTTTTGAAAGGAAAGGCATTGATTGGATAGTTTGAATATTAAACTGTTTGATATGATAATTGATATTTGACCGGTCATTGTGGTGCCAGTGAATGGTAACAATGACTGGTATTTCCAGGAATATGTAGATAAGGAACTGTAAGTGACTAAAAATAGAGTATAAATGTACTAAAAATAGATATAGTAGTTCAATACAAAGCAAATAAAATGATAAAATTAATGGTAAAAATATAGTCATATTTTAATCCTCAACAAAATAAATTATTTTTTTCATTTCTTTTTCATTTCAATTTCACTTAAAATTTACTTTACATTGAATTTGTATTGAATTTATCAACACATATACAACAACAACAATGACCACAACAACAGAAATGGAGACAACAAAGACTTCGACATCACTGATGGACAACAGTATCACCAATAAGTGTAAAGTGTTGTTTAAAATCGACAACTTTTCTGATGAATTTAAAGACGAATGGATGACAAGTTTTAAAAGTGAAATCTTTACCATTGGATCCGATAAATGGCTAATTAATATACATTGTCTTAATGAAGACATCGGTCTGTTATTGCATTTGGTTCAGTCATACGAGTCATCGGTTTCGGTTGAATACGACATGTATATCGTCGACAACAATAACCAGATATATGGCAAACAAACCCATAATCAGGTTTTCGAGAAGATAATGGGCAGAGGTTTCGAAAAGTTTATCGATAAACAAAAATTAATGGACAATAAGGACCGACTATTACCGAACAATGCCATCACTGTTGCCGTCGAAATGACTGTCCATAAGAAAAATGATTGCATCAGAAGTTTCAATTGTAAGCATTTGTTTGGTGTCCGCGAACTAAGCGATTGTCGACTGATTGTCGGCAAAGACAATAAAGAGTTTTTCGCCTCGAAGTTTGTTCTCAGCTCTCAGTCGGTAGTCTTCCAAAAGATGTTTACCACTGATTGTTTGGAACAGACAACCAATGAAGTGGTCATCGATGACATCGAAAGCGATGTCTTTGAAATATTTTTGCAATATTTATACACTGGAGAGTGCGACCAATTGAACAAATGGTATAACAAGTTGTTAATCGTCGCCAACAAGTATTTGGTCGGATCGCTGAAGACTATATGTCTTAATAGGTATTACATGAAAATCAATGGCGAGAATGCAATCGAAACACTGAAACTATTTGAAGACTTTGGCGCCGATAAAGATCTTATGGAAAAAACATATGAATTTTTTGTCAAAAATCTCGGTTCAGTTTTTGGTAAACTAATTGAAAAACATTACGACATTAATGACAAATCTGTGTCAAAAATTAACAAATTATTTGCAAAAGTGGATAAAAAATAATAATTTCAATTAACATTGCCTTACATTACCGGTAATACAGTATATATATTATTAATAGTAATTATTATTATTACTATTGCCGTACTATAATTATTATTTGTTTTTTTTCATTATATTAATCATTTCAATTACCGGTAATATTACCGTTACTTTTGAATAATTCAATAATTATTCGTTTAAACTATTCATTGATTGATTTATTGTTGTTGTAATTAATTATGTATTGTAATTAATAGAAATGTTATTATAGTTATTCAAAAAATAGATGCAAAAATAGTTATTAAAATATTTTTTTTTTACTTTTTTAGTTATTCCAATATTATTGTGTAATTTTGTCGTTTATTGTATTCAATATTAATTTTTAATAGTATAATAATAATAATAATTTTAGATAATCTATATTAATGACAAAACTACATATTTATGGTAAATAATTTTTTTGTGTTAAATATAAATATAAGTTATACAATATATTTATTGTTAATAACATATGTGAAATTAATGTATTGTATAAGAGATATTCAATGTTATAAAATAAAAATCAATTGATTTTAATTATGTTTTATAAAAAAAGGCAATCATTTACTCTATTTTTATATATATAAACACATAAACCTTAATCAGATAAATAGCAGATAATTATTGTAATATAATGTGATATAAATTAATTATAGATTTAAATATAAACTAAAGTAAATTAAAAATTCAAACTACTATAACATTATCTAAAATTATGAAATCAATGTTATTTTTAATGGAAATAAATTAAATTATCACAAAAAATACTAGATATAGACTTAATATAGTAATAAATATAAACATATTTAATATTAATATATAAACATTTAGGTTAAAATTAATGCAAAAATACACAAAATATAGTTAATGAAAAAAATAATGTACATTTATTAAATATTAATTGAAAAATAAATTTATGTTTAATAATAATAAAAATTTTTGTATTTATATAATTATAAATATTTTCTTAATCAATATTTTTTAAAAAAAATCAGTTTTATTTATACAGTAGTTTGTGAGAAAAATGAACATTCAATAAATAAATTTTTATTTTATTTTTAAAATGAGTATATATTCAATAAAAATATTAATTATAATAATTTTATTAATCAATCAAAAGACAATTATTAATTGTTTTGATGATAATAAATACAGTGATTATAATAATAATATTAATAATACTGTAGTAATAATAATTAGTAATCCACAATATTTAAGATATAATTTTTTAAATAATACTAATGATAATAACAATAATAAAAAATAAAGATAACTAATAAAATAATTTCAAGTATTTAGTATAATTGTATTGATTAAAAAAAATAATTATTATATTGTATTTCAATTATTATTATTACTTTATTTATTTTTTTTATTTGATATTATCGCTCATTCTTTTAATTATTATTTAATTTTTTTAAAGCAATTTATTCAATATTTATTTGTTATTATTAAACAATTTATTATTAATGGTTTAGTAATAAAAAAAAGTTTTTGTTTTAAATTTTATAGTTATTTTTCTGAATTATCTCAATATTATTAGTAATTTTTAATTTAATGTATTCGACAAATTTTTTTATAATAATAATAATAATTTTAGATAATCTATAATATGATAAAACTATTTATTTAAATATATATACTGTTAAAAATAAATGAAATAAAAAGATATAAAAATAATTATAAAATAAAATCAATTTAATATCAATTATTATTATAATTAATATAAGTTTTGTTTAATTCAGAGACCAATTGTTCGACAATTTATGTTTCGGTTTCACAAATAATACAACAGTTCTAACCTCTAGTCTCTAATACTTTTGAACTATTTGTTGCAATAATAATAATAGCATTGAATTGTTTGTAACTGTAGTTTACATTGAATTGCATTGCATTTTGTCAATAAATATAAGACAACAACACAAGTGTTAACAACAACAACAACAACAACAACAATGACCACAACAAAGACCACGATATCAGATATGGACAACAGTATCACCAATAAGTGTAAAGTTTTGTTCAAAGTCGACAACTTTGCCGATCAATTGAAAAACAAATGGAAATATATGAAAGTGTTTAAAAGTGAAATCTTTACCATTGGATACGATAAATGGCAAATCAATATTGAATGTCTTAATGAAGACATTGGTCTGTACTTGAATTTGGTTCAGACATACGAGTCATCGGTTTCGGTTGAATACGACATGTATATCGTGGACAACAATAACCAGATATATGACAAACAAAACATTAATCACACTTTCGAGAAGATAGAAGGCATGGGTTTCGAGTATATTATCGATAAACAACAATTGATGGACAATAAGGACCGACTATTACCGAACAATGCCATCACTGTTGCCGTCGAAATAACTGTCCATAAAAAAAATGATTGCAATAGAAGTTTCAAATGTAATCATTTATTTGGTGTCCGCGAACTAAGCGATTGTCGATTGATTGTCGGCAAAGAAAACAAAGAGTTCTTCGTCTCGAAGTTTGTTCTCAGCTCTCAATCGGAAGTCTTCCAAAAGATGTTTACCACTGATTGTTTGGAAAAGACAACAAATGAAGTGGTCATCGATGACATCGATAGCGATGTCTTTGAAATATTTTTGCAATATCTATATACTGGAGAGTGCGACCAATTGGACAAATGGTATAAGAAGTTGTTGATCGTCGCCAACAAGTATTTGGTGGCATCGCTGAAGACTATATGTCTTAATAGGTATTATATGAAAATCAATGGCGAGAATGCAATCGAAACACTGAAACTATTTGAAGACTTTGGCGCCGATAAAGATCTTATGGCAAAAATACATGACTTTATTGCCAAAAATGTCGGTTTAGTTTTGGGTAAACTAATTGTAAAACATTACGACATTAAATCTGAATCTGTTTCACAAATTGGCGTCAAAGTTGATAAACTGTTTAATAATATTGATAAAAAATAATTTGAAATCGTAATTAATGACAACTCTATGTCAAAAATTAACAAATTATTTGAAAAAGTGGATAAAAAATAATAATTTCAAGTCAACATTGCCTTACATTACCTGTAATATAGTATATATATATATATATATATATATATATAGAGTATATTAATAATAATTATTATTAATTATTAATAGTAATATTAGTATTTACTATTGCCATACAATAATTATAATTTTGTTTCTTTAATTATGTTAATCATTTCAATTGATATTACCGTTACTTTTGAATTATTCAATAATTATCAGTTATGTTTAAACTATTCATTGATTTATTTTTTGTTGTTGTAATTATGATAAATATAGTTATAAATAGTATTATTATAGTTATTCAAAAAAATACATACAAAAATAGTTATTAAAAGAATTTTTTTTAATTACTCCAATATTATTGTGTAATTTTTTCGTTTATTGTATTTAATACTAATTTTTAATAGTATAATAATAATAACTTTAGATAATCTATATTAATGGCAAAACTACATATTTATGGTAAATCATTTTTCTTTGTTAAATATAAATATAAGTTATATAATATATTGTTAATAACATATGTGAAATTAATGTATTGTATAAAAGATATTAAATGTTATAAAATAAAAATCAATTGATTTTAATTATGTTTTATAAAAAAGGCAATCATTTACTATATTTTAATATATACAGTATATAAACACATAAACCTTAAATCAGTTAAATAGCAGCTAATTATTGTAATATATGTACTATAATACTGTATAATGTAATATAATTAAAGACTCAAATATGTATAAAATACAGTAAATTAAAACTTAAAACAATAGAAAATTAATAATTATTAAAAATTAATAAATTGTTGATTTTTAAAAAATACATATATATAATAAACAAATAATGTTTATACATATTTTATATCTATTAAATATTTCTAAATAATAGTATAAATTTATAATAAAGCTGAATACAGTAATAAGTTATGTAATTAATTTTAAATTTTAACAATTATATTATTGAATTTATTTAGTCAAAAATTTTATTTTTTATTACAATTTACTTCAATTATTTTATTTTAGTAAAAATATCAAATTTCCCACAATATAAAAAATAATAATAATGTTTCACTGAATTATCGATTATATACAATGTTTAAATAAAATGTTTAATTCAAAATAATTTTTATTTATTATTTTCAAGTATTTGAAACAAAAATAAAACATTTCTATTTTAATAGAAATAATAATTTTTAATTGCTAAAATATTATAATAAAATAAACTTTAGTGTTTAGACTTTTTTTAAAAAAATAAGTATAACTTTAAGAAAAACATAATTTAATATTAAACAAAAAGATTTGTTGTTAAATAAATCATTAAAAATATTTTTAATAGTAATTAATCATATTTTTATCTAATGGATGGACTGATAATATTTTTTTAGTAAATATTTTTATGATTATATTATTAAATATAGTTTAAATATTATAATCTATTAAACTTCAATAACAACTTTAATGTTATACAATAATCAAATTATTTTTTAGATTATAAATTCAATAATATTTTTATATACTGTATATTAGTAATAGATTAAATTATCAAAAAAAATTATAAGTATATAATAAAAAACATAAAGTTACATAAAACATATACTACTGATATAAACTTATTTTACAAAATTTTACACTTACTAAATAACTAATTTAAAAAAATGAGTTTATATTTAATAAAAGTAATTATTTTAGTTATAATTATTTTATTAATCAATCAAAATATTACTAATTGTTTTGATGATGATAATAAAAATAGTGACATTAAAAATATTATTAATACTAATAATACATTTATAATAATTGGTAGTCAAACTTCTTTAAGTTATTATTTTTTAACTAATAATAATAATAATAATAATATTTATAGTAGTAAACCAATAATTAGTCAATTAATAAGATTGATTGATATCAACGATAAGTATATGATATGGTTAAGTGAATCGGGTAGCTTATTGATGTCGGTGCTCAAACATCATAACAGCACCGATAAAACTGGTAATAATAATAATAATCAATTGAGTTTTGAAATTATAAAAAAGTTAAAAAATAAGTTAAATGCTAATCAGTTTGCCATCGATTGGATACATAATTTAGTGTATTATATAAATCCAAATCTCTATGTATTTGATATCAATAATACCGGACAAGACATTGACCACGAATTATTGAATAGTAATCTCATGGATGATATGGACTCAACTGTCGGTACAATTGTTGTCAATCCCGACAACGACAACGGGTTTATTGTTTGGACGTTTACACAGTTATGGTACAAAAAAGGCGCATCAATTAGACGATGTAATGGTGACGGCAGTGATCAACGTATACTAGTCTTCCGGGACATCCGACAACCCAATTGTCTGGCAATAGATTTCGCCGCCAAAAGGATTGTCTGGATTGACAATGTCTTGCATTCGTTGTCATCCATTGATTATATGGGAAATCATAGGAAAACATTGAACGTATCCAAACAATACTTCAGCGATTGTCAGTCAATGAATATATTTAACGGTTCCGTGTATTGGACATCATCTGAAAATATATATCGTGTATCGATAATCAATGCTACCGATGATGATAACTATACGATGGAAACGCCGGAAACAGTTGTCATTGCAGATACAGAAATAACTTCATTTAAAATTATCGTTGAAAACAACAACAAACAGCAGCCAATCAATGGTAAAAATTATTGCCTAAACCAAAACTGTAGTCATATATGTTTGCCCACTGGTGGTGGTGATGATGATGATGGTATTGGTGGTCAACGATCTCGTTGTCTGTGCAATGATTTGCCACAAAACCAACGGTGCAATGAATCTCATCCATTATTACCGTTGCCATCAATTAGCTATAATAATAATAATAATAATAGCAATGCTATTAGCAATCTAGTGTCGAGTAGAGATTCACTAATTATTTTTGATGATTATACTGAAGTACGACTTTTTAAAATACCTGATCCACGACAACAACAAACAGCACATTATTTTAATACAGAATATTTTCAACTAATACCAAACGGTGTTAACTATGATTATAGTATTGCCGGTAATTATTTTGTTTGGTTAGCCTATAACGAAACGGCACATACTATGAAACTGTATGCTAAAACACTAAACCCTTCAGATACCAGTGCCATAGTGGCACCGGTAGCCAACCATAATCATTATTCATCATATTTAGTAAAGACATTCAATGCTAACTCTACTGATTTTGATGGACTGGCCGTCGATTGGATACACCATTTAGCCTATGTTTCGGTTTGCGATAAAAGTTGTAACAATTTCGGTATTATGGCCATCGATTTGAAGGCACCGACACATTCAGGGGTCAAAGTGTATAAAACAAAAGGCTGTCATACAGTTATCAATGCAATCAAAGTCGATCCAAACGATGGTCAACTGTTTTGGTTGGAGTTTACCGATAGTGCCACTAAAGTACCGAAAATTATGCGATCATCACAGGATGGCAACGATATTAAAGTGATAGCCGAGGACAGGGATATTGTAAGCAAAACATTGACACTGGATATTCATACTAAACGTGTTTATTGGTTGAAACGTTATCTGAAAAACTATGAGACAACAGTTTTGGTGTCTATGAAATATGACGGAACCGATAGACAGGTCTACGACCAGAGACAACAACATATGATTAGCAATAAATTAAAATATGTTTCATCGACACTAACTGTTATGAATGATCACATCTATTGGTTTTATTACCAATCAATTTATAGGTCGCCTATTGTGGATCAACATCATCATCAACAACAACAACAAAATTCAACTAAACTAATTGAACTAGGTACATTTATATCCAAATTTATGATAATCTCCCGTTACCTACAGCCAAGTGATGGCGGCCGGGATCGTTGTGCTCAACATAACTGTACCCATATGTGTTTGCCGTCTAGTTATGCAGCAATTGGTTACACATGTGTGTGTCCAACCGGTTACTGTCCAGAGAGTACAACAAGATCTATGGTATATATCTATAACAACAACAAAATATTTTATTAATTTAATTAAAAATATTTTTTATTTATAATTAAATGTATTATTATTTTTAGGACATTGATTATAATAATAATAATCAAAATCATTCAAACATTTATTGGATTATAACAATTGTCATATCAGTGACTATAAATCTTTTAATGATTTTATATATTATTATTTATCGCAAACCAAAAAAATCGTAACAATTGTTTCAAACAAATTATTATATTATTATTTTTTATATAAATTTTATCTAATATTTTTTTATAATGTTTTTCATTTCAGTCAATATAAACAAAAAATTTCTGCAAGTTTTCGCAATTTTACGGAAAAAGAAAATACAGGTATTATGGAAATATCACCAGTAAATAATGAAATACAAGAAAATTAATAATAATAATTATTATGAAAATTAATATTTTCTTTTAAATATATAATAATAAAATTTTATTAAAAATTTCATCAAATTTCGTGACACTAAAAATGATAATAACATTGTGGACGACATATCAATTAATAATAATAATAATTTTAGAGAAATTACTAATAATTAAAATTAAACCATTTAATTGTTGATGAATACAATTACTATTACTATTATATTAAATATTAAATTATAACAATTTCTATATATTAATATTACAATATTTAATTTATCATTCAATTCTACTGTAATTAAATTAATAGCTACTAATTTAAATTTATTTTTATAAAATAAACAAAATAATCTAGTTTAAATTAATATACAATTGATTATTCAAAATAAAATTATAATATTTTAATTTTGAAAATATTTTTTTAAAATTATATTTTTAATATCCTAATGAAAACTATCAAAAACTATATGACTACAAACTAATGGGTTATATCAAAATATTTATGTTATTCAAGTTTTTTTCTGGAAATGCTGGTTTTTCATTAAAAACAT